GGGACAGGTCTCAGCCCCGCGCTGGGGGGCAAAATGCCCGACGAGAAAATATCCCGAACGAGCCGACTGGTGTGACCTGACGCGGTTCAACATCTCCTGGGGTTGAGTCCTCACCTTCTGTCCCCAAAGCAGCATGGGGACGAGAGCCCGGGCAGAGCATCACCCCACCACCACAGCGAGCTGCCCACCAATGCACGCGGCGGGCTACGACCTGGCATCCCTGGGAGATGCTCACCATGTCCCGGCAGCTCCTTCCTTCTCCTCTTCCTCCTCCTCCTCTTCCACCTCCAACCCCTCCACCTCCTCGCTGCCAGGATTTATTCCCTCTGTGCCTTCCCAGGTGCCTCCCGGCCGCTGCACTTCGTGGGTGGGAGGGAAGAGCATCCCTCTCCCCATCTGGTGTTTATCCGCGCTCCGGCTGCTCTCGCCGTGTAAATTTGCCATTTTTTCTCATGGCAAAACCCTCCTGGCCATGGGACGTCTCCGTTCGCACAGACTCGGATCCCCCCTTCGCCCTTTTCCAAATTTTCAACAGCCGGGCACAGCCAGACTGATGTCTGGAGAGGGCAGAGAGGACCGACCCCTCCAGCACAGGGACGTGTCCCATCACTCCCCCAGAGCTGGGACAAACTGGGCTGCAGTCCCCGAGCTGCAGCCCCGTCTGCCTTCGGCGAGCCCAGGCTGCGGCTCCGGGCAGCGCTGGACCTCGCTTCAGGGTGGCTTTTTCCCCAAGCCCCGCACACATGCTCCCTTCTGTCCCTACAAGCATGTCGGGGACCCCAGACGCAGCCATCGGAGCCCAGGATACAATTTTTTTGGTGTTTTTTATTTTAACATTCTACTCTGCTCTCGTGAGAACCCCCCCTGCAGTGCTGCGTTCAGCTCTGGGGTCCCAACAGCAGAAGGACATGGAGCTGTTGGAGCAGGTCCAGAGGAAGCCACGGAGATGATCCGAGGACTGGAGCACCTCTGCTCTGGAGACAGGCTGAGAGAGTTGGGGCTGTTCAGCCTGGAGAAGAGAAGGCTCCCGGGGTGATCTTATTGCAGCCTGCCAGTACCTAAAGGGGCTACAGGAAAGCTGGAGAGGGACTTTTTACAAGGGCATGTAGTGACATTAAACTGAAAGAGGGGAGATTTTGATTGGATTTAAGGAAGAAATTTTTTACACTGAGGGTGCTGAGGCACTGGCACAGGTTGCCCAGTGAAGCTGTGGCTGCCCCATCCCTGGAAGTGTTCAAGGCCAGGTTGGATGAGGCTTTGGGCAACCTGGTGTAGTGGAGGGTGTCCCTGCCCATGGCAGGGGGGTTGGAACTAGATGACTTTTAAGGTCCCTTCCAACCCAAACCGTTCCATGATTCTGTGACTCTGTGACAGGCGGCCACAATGTCTGGGGCTGCTCAAGCCCATCGCGGTGTCGCTGCACGTTTGAGTCCATCTCGGTGCCACCACATGTCCCCATTGCCCAAAAGCTTCTGAAAAGGCTGAACTTAAGGTGGCTGGTGCTTGGTTTAGGGGGTGATGGGGGGTGAAAGGAGGAGCTGGTGCTCATCACCAGAAGAGACGGTGGGAGCTGCCGGGGCAGGATCACAGCGGGGAGAGGAAGAACCACCACGTCCCCTCGTGTCCCCCATCCCTGCCCCTTTGCTAAGGAGGGAGAGAGAGCACCCAGCGACGGTGGGGCAGGATACGTGGATGCTGAGCCATCTCCTGCCTCCTACCAAGCTGCTGCCCGTCCCCCCAA